ACTGCTTCTTTGAATAGGATAATTTCACCGTCATTACATACCCAGCTCGAGTCCCGTAAGCCGCATCTCCACCCCTTTGTGGCTTAAAGCAAGGTATTACTTGGGCTTTGCTGTTCTGTTCCATTCCAAAAGCAAATTATTGTAGCACATATTCATCCATCATCAGCTGTCAGTCAATGAACTGAAGGACTGATCATGCAATCTGTTGCTTTCTGGAGAATATTGATGAAGACATTTTGAGGTGATGAATGGTGAGGAGTTTACATGATGTGTGACTATCCATGAATAACTGTTGATAAATCACTTATGGAATAATTAATTAGTGCAGTTTGATGCGCTTGATGGAGATTCTGCATAGCAAGCAAGAATCTGGCAGATGAAGTGATCTGGGGGTTCGCTTTATCTTATTTTGGCACCAAAACACAATCAAAACAATGCTTTAGGTCAGACTACATTGTGTATTACACAAAGCACAATGCAACTAGTGGTTACTGAGCTAATCCATCACCTGCTGATGCGAACTCTGCCCTGAACTATCCGAATTTAGCAATTATCTAGGAAGCTGTAATTAGTCCTTTGTGCATGGCTGTGGAAGACGTATTTAGCCTTGTAAGCCATTTCCCATTTTTGGGTGGACTGAGGCTGAAAACAATAAATACACACAGCCTCTCCCCATTCATAAAGTTCTTTTACTGTGTGTTCTTTCACGCTCCCTTTTATTTTCTTTATGGGGATAAAAATGCCATATTGAAAACAAAGACAACAAACCTTAATCAAATGTTGTTTTTCTGAAAGTTGCTATAAAACAATTGGCTGCACGAGTTTTGATTGGGTTAATATTTCATGAACGTGAATATTTGAGTTCATTAATGTGAAGGCAATGGTTCCTTGTTATCTACTATTTTGAAATGTCTTTAAAGGAGTGCTATGGTGATTTTTTTCCCTTCATCTTTAATATAGTTGAGGGAGTCATGAAGAGCATGAGATATCCTGCCTTCTCTACGATGCATCACGGGCAGGGGTGTCCAACACCAGGCCTCAAGGGCCGGTGTCCTGCAGGTTTTAGATGTGTCCTTGATCCAACACAACTGATTTACATGTCTTGAAGTTCTCCAGAGGCCTGATAGTGAACTAATCATTTGATTCGGGTGTGTTGACCCAGGGTGAGATCTAAAGCCTGCAGGACACCAGCCCATCTAGGGCCTAATTCTGTACAGTTCATATAAGTTTAAATCAAGCTTGTTAAAGCTTGAGCCTAACCAAACATGACACATGTTCTAAGAAAACAAGATGTGTAGTAGATATATTTATATACAATTAATGTATAAATTTGCTGAAATCCACCTTTCATTTACTTTCTCCTTCAGCCCTGTTTCCAAAATGGGGATGCTTTAAAGTAAATAAAAATAAGAATGCAATTATGTGCAAACAAATAAACCGAATAACTAATTACAAATTTAGAAAGTACAGCATATTGTACTGCTGTATTGTTTAAATAAAGGATGCCAAAGACATTTTTAAAGAATGGTTTCAGGTTTCAGAATGGGCATGTTTACCACTGCATTGCATCACCTCGACTTTCAACACTGTAACCATTTGGGAACTGAGGCAACCAGCTGCTCCAGTTTTAAAAGAAAAATGTTTTCCCATGCTTGCTTGATATCGAAGTTTAGATGCACAACAATTTGAGACTTCTTTGTTCTAATCTTATTTTGAAAATATGCCATTTTTTCAATGGGTCACAGCTCTGAACTGTTGGAGGCCATTTTAGCACGAGGAATGTTTATTTGTGCAGAATGTGATTAACTGTTATCTTGTTGAAATAAGCAAATGTTACCTGGCAGTGTGCAGTCATGTGAAAAAGAGTAGTC